TCTTTCTTTCTTTCTTTCTTTCTTTCTTTCTTTCTTTCTTTCTTTCTTTCTTTCTCCTTCTTTCATTTATTTAGGCCCACCTATACCCTGAAATACCCAGGTGGTCTCCCATCCAAATAGCAACCAGGGACAGCCCTGTTTCACTTCTGAGATCAGCCAAACCCAGTTAAGTGGTGCTCCCTGCTATGTTATACCTTTGTTAAGTTCAGTCTGGGTGGAATGCAGCCATAATACCATTAGTATGGTTTGGGTTTAGTCTACTGCAGTTTGGAAATCATGGTTTTTGACATAACATGATATGTGAACCCAATAGTTGTTTGGTAGACACAGTGGTTTAACAAACTGGGTCTTAGCACAGTTTGGGAACCCTGTCTCTTCACTGGTTGGTTCTAGTTTGTAAATTAAATCCAGTACTATTAATTGAGTCTAAATACACATTCCTAGACATTGTCATGATTTCAATATGTCTATATGTTCACCAGCATGGTTAACCCAATAACTGAATTATCCCATTTCTGGATTATGCAATACATTGAACCATAAACAGATCAAATGGGGAAAGTTTGCATAGCCTATTAATTGCCCCCACACCAACTAACACCAAGTTTGTCATGAGCAAAAATGTGCAAGGCCTCTGGGTTCAAATCTCATGCAAGCATCTAGTATGGAGGAGACCTATGCCTGGAGAGTCCCCACAAGGACAAAACTGATCGTGTAGTGCCTCCTGATCAGGAGTCAAAAACATACAAATGCATCTGTAGATCTTTACCTGCTAACTCTCCTTTCTTTGTGGCTATTATATGGAGCCCATTGACACAATCATAGATCTGTTAATTAGCCTCTAGCAGATTTTTAAAAAAACCATCCAGATGACACCCCCTCACCTCCGTTTTAGGAAAACAGTGTCCATTCTTCCTTGTCCCACTCCTTTCTCCTCCCTTGCTTGCTAAAAAGGCAGAAGTTAATTTCCAATATTATATTTGTAAAATGAAATTTAATCAAGAAATTAAGCCACTTGCATACTAACAAAGCTCCTTGATGCATTTGACAAATGGCAAATATGAAAAAAAAATCCTTTTTTCTTTCTCTCCCCCCATCTCTCCCTTGCACGCTCCCATCTTCTTCATTAAGGACCTTCATAAATATTCATTGAATAAATAGAAGATAGGATGCTATTAAAGCGACAGGGGAGAGAGATTGAGCGGGGAGCATTTCTGCAGGAATGAAAGGCCACCCGATCTTCCCAACGTCTGCCTGAATAGCAATAAATCACTGGTACAAGCAAGCTGAGAAACAGCCCTGTCATAGCTGTGTCATCTCAGCCTTCTGGGGAAATTGAAAGAAAGTGAAATAGAAATTGTTCTTCTTTCTTTCTTCCTTTTCTTCCTTTTCTTCCTTTTCTTCCTTTTCTTCCTTTTCTTCCTTTTCTTCCTTTTCTTCCTTTTCT